ATCTGGATCTACAGGTGGGCGTGTGTATAAATGGTCTGTGTATAACTGTGTTTGTAGGGTGTTGTATACAGGTTGTGTGTCACTGTGTGTGTTGTGTATTTATTGTTGTCACTGGTGTGGGTGGTGTTTATAATGTTGTGTCCAACTGCTGGCGTTGTCGTGTTGTGCGTGTGTGTGTCTGTGTATAGTAAGTGTTGTCACTCCTGTTGCTGTTGTTGCTGTTTTATATTGATTTCGCGCACCACTGTGGTGCTGAGTGTGCTTCTTATATAGTTTGTGTCACGTGGTGTGGTGATATAATAGCGTAGTTAGTGCTGTCAACCGGTGTGTGGTGGTGCGATGTGTTTATATATGTGCGGTCCAACTGGTGTGTCACTGTGTGTGTGTGTTTATGGCTGTTTCAGTAACTGTTTTCTTCATAACCTCATTAAAACAATGATGTTGTAAAGCGTGTCCTTATACGTTATATATACTGTAAGTTCAGCTCACTGTACAGTTACTAACTCTGTGAGGCATTATTATAACTTATGTGTGAGAAAAAGGACAAAGCTCCGGTCTTTAACCTGCCGTTCATCATCAGTCAATAGGGAGCTGCTGTCATTACACATGGCTGTGGCTGTTTGTGGCGCCTCAATCATTCATTTATCTATTAAAGCAATATTAGCAGTGATGTGTCAATCAAGTAGGTGGTTCAAGAAAGGAAAAAAAGTCGATCACACAAATTAATAATCAAAGTTCAGTTGACAAATGAGCCTTTGCTAACCTGACTGCGGCGCATTGTTTGTTACACGGAACCAACTGGGAAGTCGTCACTGAAAACTGTTTGAAAAAGAGCAGGAACTTGGAATGACTCTGCAGGCGCCTGCAGAGTCATTTTCAGATAAATGATGGGCGCATAGCGTGAAGCCTGGCAAGATGAATTCTCATATAGACTGTATGAGGTCAAAGAGGTGGAGCTGAGGCAGAATGAGTCCTGGTTACTGAAAACAGCCGCCTGTAATGGTATCCACAAAAAGTGTTGTTTGACATTTTAATATGGGGCCTTATGGAGACTGACTCACTGCTGGAGCCAGCCTCTATTGGCCATTAGAGGAACTGCAGTTTCTGTTACTTCAGTGTTGGCTTCAGACACGGAGGTTTCTGCTTGGCATGATCTTGGGATTTTGTAGATTATGCCTTAGATTGACATTTTACAAGTCACTGTGTACACTGTGACTTGTTTTATTATTTAGATCCATTATAAATCTGGTCTTTGTAGGGAAGCTTAGAAACGTGGTAGTTCACCGAGGCTAGGTCCTTACTGCAGTGGCCATGGGTTCAAGTCCAACCAGTGGCCAGTATCTTCCCTTTACTGTCTGTCTTCAGCTGTCCTATCAGTAAAAAGACAAAGAAACAGTCCTCGTATCAGAGTTCTTACTATTACTGTGAGGACTTTTTGTCACACACAGAGACATGCTTCGTCTATCTGTCTCAACCCCGTTCATCGTGACACAACAATCAGTGTGTGCATGTGTGTGAGCGTTACACACCACACAGGGTCACCTTTAGACGAGCTGCAGGGCCGAACAGTATCAGAGCGAGTGTGAATGTGTCGATGTATTTGATGCTGATGTGAGGTACGGCTTGTGTTTGTGTGCCGCCTCCCTGCAGGCAGAGACAGCAGTTCAGCCTCAGCTGTCACACCTACTGTAGGAGATACAAAACAAGAGTAACACATACATTATTTGTCCAGCGATTCAGCAGTGACAGCGACAGAAACCTCTCTGGTGATGTAATTCGTCTTCTGGTGGCCATGTTGGAAGTCAGCTGGAGTGCTGCAGGGATGACTGCTCGTGTTTCTCAAATAACTTACGAGAAAAATCCAACTAATTTGTTTATTTATGCGCAGATGAACGGTGGTTAAAAGAACGTGAGCGTGTGATTTATCTGTTCTCCTCCGCCCTCGTTCTCTCCAGGTCTCTCTCGGGTCGGATCGTGGGAGGAGTTTGGTGGTTTTTCACCCTCATCATCATCTCCTCCTATACAGCCAACCTGGCAGCCTTCCTCACTGTGGAGAGGATGGTCTCCCCCATAGAGAGCGCAGAGGACCTCGCCAAGCAGACGGAGATCGCCTACGGTACCCTGGAGGGAGGCTCCACCAAAGAGTTCTTCAGGGTGAGGAGGCATTGGCCCCCTTTTCCACCAAATTAGCTCTGGTTCTTGAACCGGTTTTGGCGCTGCACAATGCTCAACAACCTGTAGAATATGTCACACGCACTTCCTAAAGAAAATCTGCTGGGTACCAACTTTATTTTTGGTCTAAAGGCTTAGAAAGGTTTAAAGCCGGAACGGAGCCGGGTTCCCTGTTGGTGGAAAAGGCCTAATTGTTCTAATTTTTCAATACATCCATTTTATTCCAATCAAACGGTCAGACAGAACACACTGTTATTCTGCAGAAGACAAAATATGTGCTGTATTCTTTGAACAGGACTCGGGGAAAATCACTGAGGAACATGTTGTGCTTTCGGCTTATTAACCTCTTGGAATCAGCCCATTTTGAGAGCACCATGTGTCTGTAGCTGTTTCTATCAACATATTTTTAAGTATCGCATTAGAAAAGGTTTATAGAAACGTGAAAATAAATGTTTCTTCTGTCTCAAAATTCGAACAAAATGTGCAATACATTTCGATGGACACATGGTTACTGGCTGCATTTTGACCCTAAAATACATTTTGTTCCACAGAGGACTTTATTTATTACTTTATTTAATTATGACTTATTTGGAAGACATATTTTCCCACTGTTGATGGACCTAGACTTGCAGATCCCGACTGCTTCCGGTATTTTTCATGTCCAAGCTCTCTCTAAGGCTGAGCACAGACACCCTACGGAAGAAGACTAATTTTCTTATACTCACAATCTCGTTCTTTTGGTCACTACCTAAAGCTCATGGTCATAGGAATGAAGAGCGACTGGTAAATCAAAACCTTAAGCCTGCATTACAGCTGATGCCACACCAATCTGCCTGTCCATCTCACACTCCATTTTCCCATCACTGTCGAACAAGATCACGAGATACTGTAACCTTCCTCATATGAATACATGAAACTAACTGTTTTTCACTTGGTTTTCCATTGTTTGAGCTTCAACTGGAGCTCTTTTAATTCTCTTGTTGTGTCCTCTTATTCTGCAACGGTTTAATGGCACAGACTGGTTGATTACTATCTCCATCAACCAGTGAACTCACATAACAGCAGTTGTTAGCAGTGGTGCTTTGAGCAGTATTTGGTACGATCTTCTGATGATATAGTTTTGTCTTTATCTGTTCCCACTTTAGCGGTCCAAGATAGCAGTTTTCGAGAAGATGTGGTCTTACATGCGGAGCGCCGACCCCACAGTGTTTGTCAAGAACACCAATGAAGGTGTGATTAGAGTCAGAAAGTCGAAGGGGAAGTACGCCTACCTGCTTGAGTCCTCCATGAACGAGTACATCGAGCAGAGGAAGCCCTGCGACACCATGAAAGTAGGAGGCAACCTGGACTCAAAAGGCTACGGAGTGGCCACGCCCAAAGGCTCGCCCCTCAGGTACACTCTGAAACTCCGGACAGGGGACAGTGAATGTGGGGTTAATGTTGGTGTCCTGTTTCATCTGTTTTTGTGGGAAATTAGGTCAAACCACGCATGTGCATATGAAATCAGTCTTACAGTGTCAACAGCTTCGGTTGATCATCAACACATTGCACATGTTAAATTATTAAACTGTGGTTTCCTTAAAGGGACATATGCTTTCATGAATTTTGTTTTCTTGGTTTTAAATCAAAGGTTTATTGGCTTAAAAATGAAGTTTTGTAAAGGCGATTCAGTCAAACACCAGGATTTGGTTACATGAACCAAACTAAATTTACATCTATTCAAACCATTTGATAATATGAATATGCCAGTGTTCTGGGTCGCTGAGGTGCAGACTCAAGTCTTGGGTTTGATGACTTCAGACTCGACTGCATAAAATCCAAAGCACTTGGAGCTGCACTTTGACTTCAACAACAATGACTTTTTGTGGACTTAAAATCTTCTTCCATCATCATCAGAGCTTGCATTGACAATCCTTATACTAATATTTGATTTATTATTATTTCTGTTAAGACCACTGAAAATCTAAATCCACTATAAATAGATATATATTATAACTATATAATTTAGGGTCTTTTGTATGTAATAGTAAGCAACTAAAAAGTATTAGAGATTAGATTTATCATTTATTAGACCCCATCCTGCCTCCCACCCCTTCAGTTTCAACTCAGGTTTTTCTCTTTCATTCTACTAACACTAATGTTAAATTAACTGCCTTGTTAACTCATCGTAATTAACACTTCACACCCAAAATATGTTCCAAAAATCCAACTCTAGCTTGCACAAAATAAATTCTTAATTAGATGTGAAAATATTCTGGCTCTGTGTCTTGGTGCTGCTGGGTTTATCTTTCTGAACAGGTCCTGGTTTCACATCAGAAAGGGCTGTTCGACGCCAAAAGGAAGCAGTGAAAGTATTTTTATTAGCCTTTTTAGTGAAATGAACAGTTTTATTAACTAGGTTTTTCTAATAGTTCACTACTTTTTTTATTTCAGGCCACATTTCTAGTGGATTTGAGGTTTTCATGAGTGTATGTTTTACAGCATTTTGTTGGTTTTGGACTTTGAGACTTGAGACTTGCACGAGACTTGAAAAACAACGACTTGGTTGTACCTCTGCAGACCATGGGGCACTGGTTCAATCCACTCATGCATTCTCTTACTCTCAAAAATCTGTATGAAAACATAAACCTGACCCTCACAGAAGAGTCTGTCAGTTTTGGGTATTAGACTCGTTTACTGTCTGTGTTTGTCTGTCAGTCTGTCTGTCTGTCCGACTGTCAGTCTCTTAATCTGTCTCTCTGTCTGTCTTGTCTGTCTGTCTGTCTGTCTGTAGGTGTGGCTGATAGATGTCAGTCAGTCCGTCGAGCCCACCCATCCTCACGGCCTTGAGTTCCTCTTCAGAGACTGCAGGAACGTCTCCACGGTAACGGCCGACTCAATCTACGTAATGTTAAAAGTGAAGATCAGAAATCTGCAGCGTCGAGTTATCAGAGCAGCTTTATATTTCGCTCTAACGTAGAGTGTGTGTGTGTGTGTGT